TCCATCAGGTCTTGTACATTTTCTTTGAATGGCCTGCAGTCTTTAATGGAATGACCTAGTGCCCCAGTATGGTGATCACATTGAATTCCTTCACCATATGTGATGAGGAATTTATCAAGCGAACTTGAATAAATTGCATCACAAAGTATCTTCTACCATAAAGAAGAAATGCCAACCATCTTCTATCACACAGAAGAGAAATCCAGCCACTGAATTTCGGAGCGTGTCCCATTACACAAAAGAAGCAACGTCTTCTATTACATAGAAGCAACATCCAGCAACCATACCAAAGAATCTTCTACTACACAGAAGAAAGGAAGCTTCATCTCCTACTTCACAAGAGAGAAATTTTAGCAACCGAATCATGAAGAATCTCCTACTTCACAAAAGAGCCTCCGTCTTCTACTACACAGAAGCAAAGTTCAGAAACTGTAACAAAGAATCTTCTACTACATAGAAGAAACTAAACTCTGAATATAGCATTCGACCTTTGAGGTATTTTCTTCTACACAACAACAGATATCCAAGAACTCGATACCTTATACTTACACATAAGAAGCGTCCAGCTGAGGAAAAAGAGTCTGAAATGGTTTTCCAAACATGGACTGAACCTTGGAAAAGAAGCCAAACAAGTACCAAACTTCATGCTTCAACCCCTTGCAGTATTTAATATTCTAACTAAGTGCCCCAGAATGGGGGACACATCTAGCATTTGTATTGAAATCAGGAGAGAAATTTGTTGGAGGATGACCCAAAGCACGAAGCTTAATCAACCGAGTTTCCAACATACAAGGAAGTAACTGGATACGAGGCATTGGGATTGTATCAACCTGCTTCTCAAGCTTTCTCTGTCTCTGCTGGTAAGTTTTACCCCATGGGTTCACTTGGAGACCAGAAACTAGCTGTTAGCAAGAAAATCCGAGAACGCGAAGCTATGGGTGAGACCCACAAAGTATCTCATGATTTGGAGAAAAAATGTCCCATATGCTGGGGATGAATGACAGCTCCTGTTGCAACAATGTATATATGATCACTTTTCTTTTCCGACACTGTCTTGAAAACTTCCATACCCAACTCAACTAAGTCTTCAACTGGCTATTTTTCCTCTTGGGGATTTCTGACTACAGGCTATTGCTTGCGTACCCCCAATAAACAGCCCCATCTGATTCTTTTCATAACTTGAATCTTCTGAGTACCTGCTATGGATGTATGAAGGTTCATGAAGATGCATGAGATGAGTGAGAGAATTCCAGATTTGGACACCACAGTCTTCGGATTGATCTCGTTTTAGACCTCGTCTCTGGATGACGTACTCTCTTCAATCGAATGATCAATTGCCCCAGAATAATATGCATAGAAGATTCTTTCAGGAGAACAACTGAATGCTTCTTCAAGTGAAAACTGCATCATCAGGCATACTACGCCACAAAAAACTAATACAGTCTGTCTTCTATCAAAACAAAAGAGACATCCACCTGGTGAAAGAGAGTTTGGAAGAGACGCCAAACAGGTGTTGGGCTTTATATTTCAACCCCTTTGTAGTCTTCAATATCAAAAAATCGGGTACCCCAGAATAGGGGAGGTATCTAGCATACATATCGTAATCAGAAGAGATGTTTGTGGGAGGAAGTCCTCAAAGATCAGAGCTGGGAAGAACTGCGAATAACAGGATATAATGCATTGGGCTTGCATCAATATGCTCATCAGGATCTTCTGTCTTTGCTTAAAAGCTTTTCCCCATGAATTCACTTGGGGAATAAAGACTGGCTCTTGTTGAACAAATTAGGGAACACAAAGTTATGGAGGATGCCCCTGATTAAAAGGTATGATGCCCCGGCGTGGTAACTACATCTGATTTTGGTCAATAATAACGAAGCATTGATATAAGATCCTATGGTAAAATGGGAAGCATCTGCTGATAAGATGTTCCAAGAACTCAGGATTGCGTAGCACTCCATGGTTGGAAGCAATTCCCAAAATATGAGGAGAAGAGAGAACCTTTACTGTGACAATAGGTGCAAGATTGTTGAAATCGTCATTAGAGCTTCCATGACCTGGTTCATCTGAATCTTTAATCAATTATCTTCCTGCTTGAAGATTTTTTTACTACGGGCCAAAGCTTGCATGTATATCACTCAGAGCTATTCCATAACCGATCCCTGAACAAGTGCAGTAAGAAATCAAAGTTAAACCTCCAAGGAGAACCATGTCTGAATAAGAATCCCCAATCTTTGAGTACCTGTTATGGATGCATGAATATGCATGGAGTGCATGAATAGATGCCATGTTATGTCCCTTCATTCCCAAGGAATTTACGTGCTTTGATTTTGATTTACGTAAGTAAAATATGGAAAAATTTGGCACAAGGCTTACAAATACGATTCCTTGGAAATCACAGAACATGTATGTTAAGCATGTGGTTAGCCATGTTATGTATGCAAAGGCATGAGATCAAAGAGGATCAAGGTTCCATTATTTCTGGGTATGATTGTTGCACTGCTTCTGAATCATACGAGTAAATCAAAGGTCAGGCATAACTTCCGCACATATAAGAGCCGAGTACTATGTAGATCTAAGTAGCATGAGATCAAGGCTTCAGGAACATCAGATACTGTTGAGCATTTCTGAATATGCTGGGAATGCCAAGATCAAAGGCTTGAATGAACTTCCAAGTAAGCAAGTCAGGAACTCAAAAAATAAATATGAGAACCATATGGTCACCAACAGAACACCATATGCATAAGTCATTGACAGAAGTCCATAACATGATCATTAGAACCAATAATCATCGTCTGATCATAGTCACTATCTGAACATAGTCACCATCTGAGCATGGATAACCATCTGAACATAGTCGCCACCTGAGCACAAGTAACCACTTGAACATAGTCACCAATTGTACCTGTGATAAGATTCCCTCTCCACTCACGGGTGAAGACTAGGTCAGGGTAAGACAATGGTAACTCGAAAATCACAGGTCCTCCTGAAAGTGCTAAGGGCTTACCCGCAGACGTGGGTGCCGATAGTAATTCATTTGAACCTCATCCGAGCGTGGTATATGACATGACTGCACTAATCGGACCACGTCCTATAGCCGTCATGCCCCCACTCTATTCCTAGTGTCCTAGTGCACTCTGGCCTGGGTACTGGGCCTTTTACCTCAATAGTAACATCCCCACCCAACATGGAAAACAAAGTCCAGCATAATAGATAACAAATAGGGAAAGCAATAAAATGCAATGCAAACTTATGCTCAGACAAACATGTACAAATGAGTAAACTGAAAGCATAAAAATAAACACCCAAAGAAAAGAAAACAAGAGCTAGGATCGACTCCGGGATGGACCAGCATTTGGTCGACCGCTCCCCAGTGAAGTCGCCAGCTGAAACAACCGGCTGAAAATCATCAAACAATAAAGTCGCCATTGAACGTCTTTTATCCCACATGTAGGGAAAGGTAAACGTCGAGTAAACCTGAGAAGGGTGAAATCAAGGTCGAACGACCAAGAGATAAGGGTAAGGGAGTCTGTTACACGAGGGGAAGGTATTAGCACCCCACACGCCCGTAGTACTCTACGGTATCCACTCTTGTTGTCTATCTTATGGGTGCGTTTAATCTATGCTTACGGTTTATTATTGCTAAGGGAGAATGCATGCAAACGAAAAAGGGAAAAGAATGTAGGGAAAATAAAGGTTGTGCTCGTTCGGGCCCTACCCCGATGCCTACGTATCCCTTTTAAGGAATCAGAGCAGCCGTAGTTCGGCTTATACGTTTTTGTTTGTTTGTATTTTTTTAATGAACGATAGTAATTTTGCCTTCTGCCGCAACTCGACCTTTGGAGATTTACGCGTCAGCACAGAAGTGAATTAATACGCTCCTTTGAAAAAGAGTTTGAAAGGAAGGCCCGAAGGCAAAAATAATTTTATGTTTTGTTGGTGTTTTTACTTGTAGAGAATAACTAGTTAATCTCAAGAGAGAGACTTTAGTCATTTCTCCACTTATTCATGAAATAAGTCTTTGAGACTTGAACCATACCAAATCTTAGAATAAGAGAATAATAAGGTCGAGAAGAAACCCGCTTATCATCTCTCATACTTAACGAAGACATGATTCTCGTCAGTGATTTTTTTAAGTATTTTTGAAGTTTGCGAGAAAAAGAAGTTTTTGTTTTAAATGCATATGCGAAAGGAAAAAAAAAGTCACAGGGAGACTAACCTATTTCTAAACCTAACGTTATCATACAAAGGTGGTCCTAGAATGCAATAAAGTGTGAAAAATGAGGAATAAAAATGAGATTGCGATGATACCGAACGGAGAAGGTCAGTTTCCTCTTCAAAACCACACCAGCAATAAGAAAGCTCTACAGAAGCTGCTCCGTGCGAGTGATCAAGGAATCAGTCTCCAAGCATTCCATATTGCGACAGTTACATCAATATAGTATCACAAGATTTTAAAAAAAATGATAATGAAAATGATTTTTAAACATAAAATAATAGAAAGTTCTAATAAAATTCTAAAAAAAAGTCCTAAAGAATTCTAAAAAAAAAATATGCTACTATTTTTGTGTATTATTTTTATCATAGAAATACAACCCAAAAAAAAATTGGTGGAAGAATTAAAACAACAAAATTAAAACCAAAAAAAACAATGAATCAGAGGGAGGTATGAACTGGAATCTAGGGAGGTGTAGAAGCGGGTTGAAGCATTAAGCCCATGAAGAAAAAGTCCAATAAACACTTTTTTTGTACACAAATTTTTTCATTGGGCCTAGGAATTAATAGGTTCGGTCCATTCAACTCATTCTTAATGTTGTTAATCATCATATGATAATTATATTATTTGTTGAATTAAAAATAATAATAATAAAAAAATGCAATAGAATAAACCAGTTCAAAAAGAAGAAAAAAAAAGAAAAGGGGCAATTGGGGATCCCAGTCGGTGTCGCCTCCTTGTCTCCGCGACGGCTTCCCCTTCCTTCTTCATCGGTCCTCCATCTATCTCATCGATTCGTAGTTGATTCCACCATCATCATCATCGTCGCTAATCCGTCATGTCCGTAACAAGATCTTTCCGTCTCATCATCCTCAGTCTTTCTTCGATATTCCTTCCAATCTCCGATCGAACCTGTAACATAACGCAAACAACATCGTGCACGTGATAAAAGGAGAAAGCGTTTTAGTTTACCTTCCGTTTTCGATTTGACGAAGAATGACGAGCAGATTAGCGAAATCAGGTACGCGTTTCATAAGAATTCTTCTCTCCAATTCACACTTCTTCTTGTTTCTGATTCATGTGTTAACTTCCCTAAGCCTTTCACCGTTCACAGATTCGCATGGTTTACTCGAATTGTTTGAGATGTGGTTGTTATTGCACCTTTGTTGAAGACGATGTTTCGGTTGCATTGACGCGGGAAGAAGAAGCTGTTGTGGTAATAGGTGCGAGATGTAGAGCTGATCGATGGAACGTGTTGAAGAACATGTGTGTGTGTGTGTGTGTGTGTGTGTGTTGAGGGATATTATAGAGAAGATTGAGGATTAGAGTGTTGGTGATGAGGATCCAGCGAGAAAAATGCAGAACTGGAAGATTCAGCCTCTGAGTCCTTTGGTGAATGGTATGTGAGGATGATGATGAAGAAAGAAAGAGTGGGGGAGTGAGGGTCGAAGATGGCGAGAAGATGAAGAGAAATTCAGAGATTGGAGGGGTATGTGATGATGATTCAGTTGAAAAGAGAGTAGAGAGATGATTTTGATTTTTTGTGGTGATTCTTCCAGAATGCTGAAGAATGACCCATGAAAGAGATAAATTCTGTTTTTTATAGTCTATTAGAATTTTCTGCTGGAAGTTTGTTAGACTGTGTAGAAAGTTGGTTAGGAGTTTGTTAGGAGTTTGTTAGGAAATTTTGTTATGTTAGAATTCCGTTAGAAAGTTTTGGTTAGAAGTTTTTAGTTCCTAAGCTGTTGAGCTGAACTGTTTTAATTAATTTTCTACTTTCCAACTTTCTATGCAGTTTGTTTTCTGTTTTTTTTGGTTATTGCAGTTAGAGAGTTTGTTAGTAGTTAGTTATGGTTACAAGTTAGTTGTATTGAAATTCTTTTTGCAGTTAGTAGTTTAATTATTAGAGAGAAAGTTAGAAGTTAGAAAATATGTTAAGAATAGTTAGTTGGCAAGCTGAAGGTTATGTCATTGGCTTGTTAGTTTTGGTTCTGATTGTGGATTATTTTGATGCGATTTTACAGGTTGAGTTCCAAGTGGCCAGTAGGATTTGTGTTGAAGCAGTGTGAAGATTATGGTGAAGAGGTAAGGTTAAACTGTGGGATTTCGTGGAAGACATATGAAGATTAGGCTTTGGTGTTGTGTAGGATTTTTATAATTTCTTTTGTAACATGATGGTAAAATTGTAATGAAAATGTTTTGAATGCCATCTTGTATTGCAATGTAGCATGGAATTAGTTAAACTTGCAATGTAACTTTGAGAATTCAATGATAATTTCTTCAATGTACCTTTTTGTTTAGTGTTTTCATAGATGAGCTCTTTCATGATATCCTGCCAATGTTTAGTTATTCTGTGATAAACCATTTCTCTTTCTAGAGATTTCTTCCAGTCAAGGTGAATTATGTAGTATCCTAAATTGTCAATAGACTTTCTGCTATATTTCTCTAGTAATCTCAAGTTATCCTCGGCATGCCTAAAACAATTTGAATTGAGAAGAAACTTTGACACCTCAAAGATTTGCAATAAAGACTGTATTTGCCAAAGTTCATAAAGGGTTTTACCATTTGAAAGCTTGTTGAGTGTGCGCAAGACATCCATGCCAACAGATAATAATTCTGAACTCCAATATCTCTGAGCATAAGACAATAAAGGTTGAACATCAACGGAGACTAGCCTCCCATTCTTGATTAGAAATTTATCTCCCAATTTCATCACCCAATTAGCACCAGGGATGAGCAAAAGGTACATGTCTTGTTGATTATAAATCTGCTTCTGAACACCCAAATAGTTCAATGCAAACTTCACGTAACTGCTTTGCTGTTGATAAGGCTCTAGAGTTTTGAAATTTGAAAGGAAATCCAGCATTTGGACAATGTTATCCTTCCAACATGTCCAACAATAAAACAACGTCTCCCCAGAAAATTGATTCTTTGTAATCATACTTTAGACAGAAACACCAAACATACTGTCGTGCTCGACATACTTGGAGGAATTCAGCCGAAAATGAGAACCAAGCAATTTCCACAAACATAATATTTCCCCTCTGATACTCTTATGGATGCGAGAAGACTTCAATTGATTCATTATTTCATAACTGTTGTCATGTTTATTTCCTACCGAAGACAAAACAGTCGATCTAATGTCATGACTTGTTTCTTAATAGAGTGCGGTAATTTCGAACAAATATGCAATGATAGTAATGAAAATTGTTTTTCATTTGAACCTTCGATTTCACATATGCTTTCTCATATCTTAAAATATCTTTAGACGTCAAGTATATCCAATAATTTTCAAATAACCTCTAAATCATGAAATATGGGATAATTTAGTCCACAAGAGTTAACTTGGTTTTCATCCACGAAGTCTCGCTGGAATCTTCCAATTTTGCTTGAATCAAATTGTTGAACAAAACTGAAGCTCATTCTCACAAATATAATGTTTTGAGGAATTGATAACGAAGATGGAAATATGGAAGAAGTATAACCAAGATATCCTTAAAACTACTAATCCACCTTGACTTGTATTGTGAGCAAAAACTAACAATGATGAGAACAAAAATGGCCTTGATCAACGTGAATCTATGGTACCATTCCTTATGTCATGACCTCATACTTTTCAATTCAACCCCACAAGTCCTTTGTCTTGTCAAAAAAATGTCTTTGTGGGATCCTTGAAGAAGATAAAATTTGAAGCATAGAAAGATATCCTCTAATCATTTCTTATTGACGAACATCAACAAACTCACACACAAAATGCAAAACCTTAACCCACTTGTATTAGGTGCACAGTGACGACTTGAGACATGGATAGAATAATGTTCAAAATGTCTTCGAAATGAAACAAAGCATGATCTTCCAATAGACATAGGGAAATAAACCCAAATCTTCATACTTAACAAATAAAACCTTGCAACTTGATTTTGAGATGAAGAGAATAACCTCGTAGCTTGATAAAGAAGAAATCCACAACAACCATCAATCAAAACCCTAAATTCACAATTCAATGTACCAGAAGAATCAGTCTAGTTTAATAAACACCTCGAACCAGAAGAAAGCCCGAGCTTCACAACCAATGATTCTCTGAACCATGATTCAACAAAACCTGAATTGGTTAATTAAAGAGTGGATGAATGCCATGTGAAAGTCATTAAGCCTGATCAACTGATAGGCACACTTATATGAGGAAACGTCTTGATTCGAAGACCATGTATGCTAAGTTACGCCCTTGAGTTCTTGATAAGAAAAACCTGTAACTTGTTGTTTATCAGAAGATAATAGCCTTGTTACTTGAGGGAGAAGAAGTCCAAAAATGAGAATGAACCAAAACCCTAATTCCACAACTTGCTGCCTGAATAAGAAATCATCCTTTATTGGATACGAGCGCCTTAACCACTGTGAAACCCTAGTACCGCACAACCACTGAACTTTGAACCTTAGAGCTATATTGAATGAAATGTATGCCATGTTAGTGACCTAATGAAATAGATGCAGATGAATGCAAAAAGTCTAAGCCAAAATAAAAGAAATTAGGAGGGCAAATTTTGGGGTGCAACAAATATAGTTTAACTAAAAATAAATTTATGTTTAGGATTTTTATATGTATTAATAAAAATAGTATAGTATTTATTTATAAAACAATAAGTAAACATATTAAAAAAGAATATTATTTTTTTAAAATTATATGTTTATT